ATGACGCATGGTCGGGATAAACGATGAAGGGCCTATCTTCTAGGAGATATACCCGAAACTTAGCCAGTGCATATTTCATGGCAAGGCGTTCCTTGTCATGCACAGGATAATTACGCTCAGCTGCTTACAGCTGACGCGATTGATAGCAGACGACGCGCTAAGCGCCGTCTGAGTCGTACTGCATTAACGCGCAGCCAATAAGCAAAATCGCTGGTGTCACAGACCACATGGAATGGTCTGTCCTGGTATGCAATCGCCAACACAGGCGATTGTATCAAGCTTTTCTTGATACCTTTAGAGGAGTGCTGACACTCAGCACTCCATGACCGTCTCTCATTTTACTTTAACAGATGAGAGAGATGTACGTTCATCTCAGCGTATTTGCGTGAGTACTTGTGCAAGTACGTCTCTAATCCAAGGAACCATCGAAGTCCCTTGACGTCTACTGGCACATGCCAGTCGCTAACCGCCTTGATATCTTCTGGATCAAGACGTACGACATTTTTACCCACGATGCAGCCAAGAAGTGGTATTTCGTTCGCTACGCATATGCACTTCTTGAGGTTTGCGAACAACTTATGCTCTCGCATTAGTGTAAGAACATTCCGGACGTGGAATCTATGAACCCCCGCGTCCGTCTTTCCATTCATAGCTCGGCTATGGATGAAGACATCGTCAGAGTAACTCGGTGCGAAGTCTCACATAGATCGCAACACATTCGTGGCACATCTGTTGAACTTTGCAGGGGCGTTACTAAGTCCCTGTGGCATCACTAGCCACTCCCAGAGCATACCACTGGGGTGCTTACTCTTGTGAACTAAAATTCCCGTTCACGCATGAGGATCTGATAGAATCCATCCATCGGATCCATGGACGAAAAGATGGTACTCTTTGCCATACCATCTATGATGACGTCCTTTCTCGGTATCGGCATCTGACCTGGTACCGTTGCAGCACTCAATTTGTTGAACGCGTGCACTATTCGCCACCCTCTTTTAGCCTTTTGTACACAGAATGTCAGAGAGATGTGTGGGAATGTTGATTCCCTCACATGACCAGTAGCTAAGCCATCGGCAAAGAATTTGTCGATTGCTGTGACCTGTTCACGAGGCAGTGTACACTGCTTCGTGACACAGTACTTCAAACCGGGTTTCAGTTCGATCTCATGTCGGTTACCTTTGTCCTTAGGCATCTCGCATGGAACGGATTCAGGGAAACCACAATTCAACCGAATCCTTATACAAAGGATTTGTCTTTAAAGTCTCCCAAGATTGAGACGTGTACGCTCAATCCGGGTCTTCTCGTCGAGGACACTCGTCCATAGATGAGCTACTGAGAACTCGTTCGTTATCAGCATAAACTTGTGCCGAACGAATTTCGGTGACGTACTCGTCCTCTGTGACGAGTACGCAGATCTGCTTGATCTTGTCACTACGCAGATCTCGCAAGAATCGTTTAGATTCTAGTGTTAACAACTCGATTATCTCCGACGCTGACTTTGGAGGTGGAACCAGAGCAAGTGTATAAGCACCTACACTTGATCCGTCATTCACCAAGATATTCACTCTTTCGGTGATTTCCTGGGAAAACACATCAGCAGGTGGTTGGGGATCCACACCCTCGACATAACTCTCTCGGGAGTTATCACTCTCAGGAACGCTGCAACTTTCTTCCAATACGTGTACTGACTGTGAGTTTACAACCACAGTCACGTCCTCTTCGATCTACCCTCTTTCATTCGATCGGGCTTGCTCTGCGATCGACTCTCTGTTAGTCGATCTCGCTTCAACGTGTTGTTCCTTTTGAACAACACGCATCTTTATTCTTGTATTCACCCTTCTTGGTGGGCATCCGTGTTCCTTTCCACTTAATCTTTTTGAGTGGTGAACCTTTGGCGAAGCCTATGTCTCTCCACAGGTGCCGGAAGCTGGTTCCATAGTGTAGTGGCCTTCTACACTGTGATCTTGTGCAGTCATACTAACGACCGTACCACAAGTGAGACCATAGCACTCACTCGTAGTACATCCACACGCTTGTGGACGCTCCAAGACGTTCATCAGATAGCCATCTGATGAACAAACGGCAGGCATCTTCACGGATTGATGCTACCAGCTGATCCATTGCTGGTACTTCTAAGCCATACCAGACCGAGGATGACATCAAATTTTTCATCTAGATTCAGTGCGATGAAGTCATCATCATAATGCTTTCTTTCTAGCGTGTAGTTGATTCCCACTACACGTTTGTTCACTGTTACGGATGCGCCTGTAGCAAGGCACACCGTCATCCTCGTTGGAGGGAACTATCGCTCAACATAGTTAAGCCTACTATCACCTAGCGACTGGCGTCGAATAAAACTGTTCGACGCCCCACGGTCAACTAGGGCGCGAAGTGACATTCCACTTGTTACTTCGATCTTCAAAGTGATGAGAGACTCCTCATCATTAAGGGCAGTAACACACAACGAATGTGTGTTGGGAGCAATCTTCGTCAGGGGTCCTGAATATTCTCTCGACGTTTCTGGATTAGCAGGGTGCTCCGCCCCTACTGACCCTGTCCATTTTTTGATGGTCCGACTTGCTGTCGCGGCTTAGCGACACGGTCGGACCCGCGCCTCGGACCTTTCCTTGGCCAACGGTGGTCATCACGTCCTGTCCTTGGACGCGATGCGAAGCTCGGGACACTACACTCGTAAGCGTAGTGTCCGATCATCTGAAAGCGATGGCACCTTGCCGATCGCTTGTGACTCAGAGAGCGAGAGCTCTGATCTTGATGTAACAGAGGTCCATTGGTTCGGGACCTTCTGTTTTTCGTCATCTCGTCGGGAGACAATTTGACGAGTTAATCTGAGACTGTCTCAGGCTGAATTCTTCTTGTTCCGCGTACGCTATCGCCTTTTTCAGCGTATGGAAGTCCTCTAGGAACATGTAGGTCTTCACCGACCCATCTGGAAGGCCGTAGATGAATACGTTGATGAGCGTGTGCTCATCAACAGGGTATTACGTGATGCTACTTGCAAGGTAGCGCAGGTGCTGTGCGTAAGCGTACGCGTCACTTTTACCTTGCTTTAGCCTCAAGAGTGCAGAGCGTGCTTTGGACTCAGCTCTCAGCAACTTAAACGTCTCTTTAAGCCGAGACTTCAAGATCTCCAACGACTCAAACACGTTTCGGTCGTGAAGCTTGAGCTCAAGGCCACCAAGCATTTGCTTGTCCTGTCAAATTTGACAGGGCGAAGGTGACTTGCACCTCGTCACCCTCGATGTGACGGGCCCTGATGGCATCGTCTAACTCGATGAACCATCTCACAAGGGAATTTCCATCGGTTACCTTGTACCTTGAAATGTCAATCTTCGAGGTTTCGGGTCGACGCATGTGCGTCGGCCCACCCATCGACTGATGAGAGCCTTGCTGCTGTAGCAAGGCTATATTCTGTCGTTTGACGGCAAGTTCCCCTTGTAGGAAATTGTTGGTAGCAGCTTGTTGTTGGTCTTTGTTTAGAGACTACAACATGCCACTGATGGCGGGTTTGCCCATGAGCAAACTCATGCGGCCGACCACCTCCCATTCTAAGTCACTTAGATAGTAGTAGCCTTCACGTGTGACGTGAAAGCTGTCGTCTTCTACGTCCAACATGTTCATGTTGGACGGACACTAAGTAGTCGTTGGACGGACTACGAAGTGCTACTAGGTGTAATAAGGCACCCTTTTTTGGGGTGCCACGAAACTTCACGTGCACTGGTACGTGCAGAGGAAGCTAATCTACTTGTACTGTAGATTAGCTTCCTGTAAAGGTAAAAAGAGAACTGTATTTAATACAGTGAAGCTATCAATATGACTTCAGTCTTTACCTAACTATGTTAACCTATATTGCCGTATGACGACAACCTGCTCACCACTCATTACGCGCACCTAACAGCGATTGGTTGCAATATATGGTTGATATGTCTTGTATCAACCAATCTTAGAGCAGCGCATGAATGTTACTCAAAGGAGGATAACATTCCTTCAACATTATCTATCTCAAATAATTTGGTAGAATATTGTCGTGCTAGACAATCTCCCTATTGACACCGTTTGGTGTCAATATCATGTAACGGGCTACCCCGTTACATTGTAAGTATCTACCCATTATCATTGCGTGCTTCTGTATGGATAGCTTTTAGTGGTTGATAGATTGTTCATATTATAACTAATGAGCAGTGTGTAACATCTTCGAAGCAACATTATCGATTAGGATAATATTGTGAGAATATTGCGTTTGTCCTAACATAATATTCATACTTGATACTTACCTACTGTAGTGTAAATTATCATGTAACGGAGGCACTCCGTTACTGGGCGCTTCTTCCCTAGCGCCAGAAATTGTTCATCAAACGATCTCCATTAATCACGACCTGCCACAAAATATTTTGCAGTCTTGCCTCCATCTGAGACGCTGCTTACGCGGTTGTTCATGTTGAAAATATCGTGTTTGACAGGTTTCAAGGTTCAAGCACTATACCATGGAACGGTGTCACCTGATTGGTTGATTACCGTGCGACGTGACATGTGGGACCACGACGGGACGATCGACAGATGGGACTGTGAGAGTCGGAAGCCATGTAACAGGATGTCACATGGGACAGGAAGAGACGGGCACCTTGTGTGACTTGACATGGTCAAGTTACAGTTGTCGTTTCTGGACATACATATCGTAGTGTTGAAGGAGATATTTCTTAACACTCAATATATTTTACTTTTACTTCCTACTTCTACTGCACAAGTGCACCTACGTCTAACAGATCAACGCAACACCGGAACGCCCTACCCTGTCTAAAACAGTCTAAGAAAGAACCTCACTATCTCGATTATTCACAACATCCAACCCGACAAAAAACCTCCCTCCGATGTCAATAAAACCCAATCCCGTCCATCCCACACGATACGCCTTATGTTGCACGCAAGTTGCGTGACCCCCTCCACGCCACCTCCCGTCCGCTCGTCCGCTCCATTCAATTCCAATGGCGACGCCACCGGCCGCGTCCGCGCGCTTCTTCTGCGACGAGCTGGAAGACGACGTTGCTGCGCCCAGCATCCCTAACCACCCGCTACGCCTCAAGCCGTACACCTCCCTGCCCCAGGAGGAGCCGAGTCCGCTCGCGCAGGAAACTGTGGACCTCATTGCACGCAACGTCGTGGGCCGGCGGACGCTCTTCTCGACGCCGTTTGGAACCCGCGCCTTGTGCTACGCGGACTTTACAGCCAGCAATAAACCGCTGCAATGTATCGAGGACTATCTCCTGCGAGAGGTCATGCCGCTGTACGGCAACACGCACACGACGACGTCCATCACGGGGCTCCAGTCCACGTGCTTCCGGCACGAAGCGCGGCAGATCATTGCCCAGGCTGTTAATGCCAAGACCACGGGTCGAGGAGCTGAAGATTGTGTGCTGTTCACGGGCCACGGAAGCACCAGTGCCGTCGTGAAGCTCGTGCAGGCGCTCGGGCTCGAGCGCGGTCGTACGCCGCTGGCGGACGGAGCGGACGGAGTGGACGACCGGGCGGTCGTGTTTGTCGGACCTTTTGAGCACCACTCGAACTTGCTTCCGTGGCGAGAAAGTGCGGCGGACATTGTGACGATATCTGAGACGGGACAGGGACTTGTGGACCTGCAAGTGCTGGAGCAGCAGTTGAAGCGGCACGCTGCACGTCCGCTGAAAATCGGCGCGTTCTCGGCTGCGTCTAATTTGACTGGCGTGCTCACGGATGTGGACGCTGTGACTGCTTTGTTGCATCAATATGGTGCCTTGGCGTGCTGGGACTATGCGACGTGTGCGCCGTACGTGGACATTGACGTGAACCCTGTGGTGGCGGACGAATCGCGACGTCCGTTTGTCTACAAGGACGCAGTGTATTTCTCTGGGCACAAGTTTATCGGTGGACCGGGGGCGCCCGGGGTGTTGATAGTCAAGAAGCGGCTGCTCACGAATGCTGTGCCGACGGTTCCTGGAGGTGGCACCGTGTTTTTCGTGACGGAGAATGACCATCGGTACCTGTCGAACCGGGCAGAACGTGAAGAGGGCGGCACGCCGGATATCATTGGCAGTATCCGTCTGGGACTTGCGATGGAGCTTAAGCAACGGGTAGGGGCAAAGCACATTATGATGTTGGAACAACGCCATGTTCGCCGTACTCGCGAGGTGCTTGGTCAGATCAAGAACGTGGTGCTGCTTGGACGCCAGGACGATCAGATCGAGCAGTTGCCCGTGTTTTCGTTCCTTGTGCGGTTTGGGCGTCGCTTCTTGCACTACAATTTCGTGTGTGCACTGCTGAACGACCTTTTTGGCATTCAAACACGTGGTGGCTGTCAGTGTGCTGGTCCGTATGCTACTCGTCTCCTGGGTCTTGAACGTCGTGATGTATTGGCTCTAGAGCATGCGCTAATTGAAAAGAAGGAGATGTTGCGTCCTGGATTCACTCGGATGAGTTTCCCGTATTTTATGACCACTGAGGAAGTCGAGTACGCGCTGGCAGCTGTTGACTTTGTGGCTACTGACGGCTGGAAGTTCTTGCCGCAGTATAAGTTTAATCACAAGAGTGGGGTGTGGAAGCACTGGACTCGCTTCACTAAGTTCCCGGATCGAAAGTGGATCTCTCACTTTGCAACCCAACTAGAGGACAAGACCCGATCCAAGAATCTCGATGATCGTGTCGAAAGAATTGCGGCCCATCGCGCCGCAAATTTAGCGGAGGCGCACCGGTTAGCAAGCGAAGTGACTGAGAAGAGTGTTTTAGGTCATGTGGTTGCCGCGTCTGCTGCACAAATGCTCGAGGAGACGGAAGATGAGGCGCTTCGATGGTTTGTCTACCCTTCAGAGGCGGTCGAAGCCATCAAGAAGGGAGAGACACCTACGTTATCAGCGAGTATTCGTGGTCCCTTCCAGCCTGCTCGTTATCTCACCGGCGAACTCATTGATCAGTGGAAAGGTGCATCCATTTGTAGTGATGTCTCTGTTCCGGTCTGTGGTACGACAACGTGCATTCCCGTGTCATCAATCTTGACTGTTGTGGATGGTAGCAGCTACCCGACAGAGACTGTTGAAGCTGCTGACAGCCGCAAAACAGGAGGCAAGTACCCGCTCCGCTTGACAAGCGGCAATGGAACTGTCGAGTCTCTGGTTGCTACGAGCTGTAGCTCTGGCTCTTGCGCTACTGAATCCAATGGGGCGAGTACAGCACCGACACGGTCAATTAGCACGACTACTGCTACTGTGCAGGAAACGTTGACGGCAATCACTCAGAAGACAATTGCTACAAAGATGTTCCCGACACCTCCGAAAAAACTCGTACGCTGGGTGGGCCAGGCGATGATGCAGTGGAATATGATTCAAGAAGGAGATCGACTGCTGCTCGGTGTGTCTGGCGGCAAAGATTCTCTCAGCTTACTGCACGTGCTGCTTCATTTCCAGAAGCGAGCTCCTATCCGCTTTGAACTCGCTTGTGCGACAGTGGACCCGCAGACGCCCTCGTTTGACCCGAGCTCGCTGAAGGAATACATGCGTGCGCTCGGCGTGCCTCACTACTATCTGTCGGAGAACATCATTGAGCGTGCAATGTGTGAAATGAACGGTGACTCTCTGTGCAGCTACTGCGCACGCATGAAGCGCGGTGTTCTGTATACGTGTTGTCGCAACCACGGGTTCAATAAGCTCGTGCTGGCTCAGCATCTTGACGATCTCGTAGAGAGCTTTTTCATGTCGGCCATGCACAACGGCCAGCTGCGGACGATGAAGGCGAAATACTGGAACGACCAGCAGGACGTGGAGGTGCTGCGTCCGTTGGCGTATGTACGGGAGATTGAACTGAAGAAGTTTGCGTACGATTCGCGTCTGCCCGTGATCAACGAGAACTGTCCTGCTTGTTTCGAGGAACCGAAAGAGCGCCATCGCGTCAAAAAGATGCTCGCTCAAGAGGAGAGTTTGTACCCTGATATGTACAATAGTCTACGTCGGGCACTGCTGCCGCTCATGGATGACGCTAGCTATGCACCGCTGGAGGCTGTGCGTGCGCGTGTGGAACAGGCCAAGCACGAGCGCAAACGACCTTCTTCCAGCAAAGGACTGAAGAATAGTCATGTGAAGGGGAAGAGCTTGGCAGCATCGACGACGAGTAGCTCAACAGAGAAAGAGACGAGTGAGGATGTTGCAACAAGTGCCGAGGTGTTGGTGCAGCAGCACACTTTGTCACATGTTCAAGACCATCGACGGTAGAAAGATGCGTTAATTGATACTATAACAAGTGGCTTCACCTCTTTTTAAAAGTATCTTGGAGCTCCTCGTCGCTCGTGTGCATTTCTATCTTCGATACTGTATCGGATGGCAACAGTTCAGAATCGACGTTGAATTCCGAACGCCCTTCAGTCGATTGGTAATTGTCGATTATGCCACTGACCACCACAGCTGCAATGGGCAGCCGCGTGAGACCGAATCCACCTACTATCGCGACTCGAACGATGGAAAAAAAACTCACGCGGGTCTGTGATCGTATTTTAGTCGACGAATTAAAATCCACTCAGTCGCAATCACCATCTTGCATGTCTCGTAAAGTCCCGTCTTCTAAATCGTCCTTCCAAACGTGCCGCCTGCTCTATCTCTTGTATACACCGCGTATACACTGCCACGACTGCTACGACAACAACGACCGAATCGACTTGATTCGCCCGTCGCGCCTGGCTCTGTCACCGCGTTCCATCGGTCGAGTAGTCAGACGTGGCTCCTCCCTCTGCCATGCCACTCAAAATCAACTCCATTTAATCATATTCTTGTCGCCATTGCGTTCTTCTTCGATTCCCCTTCCCAAGTCCCTTCACTCACTCAGTTAATTCACTGACTGACTCGTTTCAAGCGCCACACGCTTTGTCAAATGACCGACTCGGCAGAGATTTACCGTCCAGGGGGGAGCGGGGAGCGACCTTCGACGTTCCGCAATAGCGGGTACACTCATGAAGCCATGGACTACTCGCGATTCACGGAAGTAGGGGGACAGCGCGAGGGCTCCATGTATGGACCAGGGGGTCAGCGTCAGACCGAGATGCGACTTTTGGCTGTGGAGCCGGATTTTGGGGCAGCTCCTGAGCGTATCGAGGACTACAAAGGTCGGAACCGGACGTGGCCGGGCGTTCTGCTTTTGCTGCTCATTGTAGGGGGTGCCGTGGCCCTTATTACGATCAATGCGATTGACGTGAACGAGCAAGCACATCTCGGAGCTGCTCGATTTGAAGGCGCTTCACGGTCGAAACGACGGATCAACGACGGACTGGACGATGGCAGCATCCTCATTTCGGACGACGGACAAGTGGGGAACCCGAAGAAGTACTCGGACATGGGCTGTGAGCTGCCTGACTATCAGAGCAAAAAGGGAAAAATTATCGCTGTGTCAAAGAACGGCACAGAGATTCCAGTCGGGATCAAAGGTGTCAACTGGTTTGGCATGGAAACGGGCTTGGCCATTCCGTTTGGACTGTGGGAGAACATGGACAACGGCACGTCGGTCTACGAGATCGCAGCCTTTTTGGCTCGAAACAAGTACAACAGTGTCCGTTTGCCATTATGTATCACGAACATCCTGGACGACGTGGCTCCGGATAAGTCGCTCATCAATTTGAACACGAATCGAGCTGTCAATATCACGTCGTACATGACGACGATCCAGTCGATCGTTGAAGCACTCGGGTATCGTCACATTTCCGTGATGATCAGTCTCCATACGTTGGTTCCGAAGAAAGCTGGTGGTGCCTGGTACAGCGAGGAGCTCGGTGTGTCTGAGGACCAGTTCCTCGAGGCGGTGGATATCCTCACTAAGAACTTGTGTGGCTCCAAGTACTGGAATATCCTGGGCATCGATTTGAAAAACGAGCCGCACGAGTGTTCGTGGGGAGGGGCTGAACCGGACTGGCAGAGAGGGGCGACGTTGATCGGCAACCGCATGCTGGAAGGCTGTCCAAACTGGCTGGCATTTGTCGAAGGCATTGCTTCCAAGGGATTGATTACACTGAATGGTGAAGAGCAGACCTACTTTGATTGGTGGGGCGGAGGTCTTGCCGACGCTGGCGCCAACCCTGTCACGTTTAAAGTCAAGAACAAGTTGGTGTGGGCTCCGCACTACTACAACACCGGTGTGAGTCCAGCCTGGTATCTCTACGATGGCGGCACACAAACCGATGAGGGCGCACGAGTGGACTATGTCGAGCTTGACGACAAAACGTTGCGAAACAACGTGGAGAAGACCATGGAGAAGATGTTTGGCTACTTGTTGACGGAGGATGCTAATACTGCAATGGTCATGGGCGAATTCGCCGGTCTCTACAGCAAAGATGCCCACCCGATGCTCACGACGAAGCGTACGACTGACTTCACGCTTGATGTCATGCTCAAAGCAGGATATGCGGGAGGCTACATGTGGTCGTTGAACCCCGAGAGCGCGTATCAGTTCAACCCAGCGGATACTTTCGGTCACTTCACGGAGGGTCTGCTCGAGGACGATTGGCTCACACCAAACAAGGCGTTCGTAGACGGGATGGCTGTCATGGACAAGTTCAAGGACCACAAGATGTTTCCGTGCTTTAAGGTTGAGGTGGCGAGTGACGCGAAGTCCAGGTGAGGCATGGAGCTTCTGGAGCAGTCAGTCGTCTGTTGTTACATTTGACTTGTCGATCCCGGGATACAATAGCCAATGTCTTGAGCAATACATTACCTCAAGCTTAGAGTGTATACCGTGATGACCATGTGGGCGTTCCTCGATGAGGCTTGGAACTGCTGCGTAGCGTTGTAACCTGAACAAAACCCAGTCAGTCCATCGACTTCCGTCCGTATCATGCCAAAGTTGGTACCGCATGCCTTACTGTCTCAAGAGGAAGAGGTTTGACCCATTGTCTTATGCACATCAACCGTTGTTGGACTGTTCGGACGTTCCAGCAGTTGTGAAGACATTTGTCAGTGCGATTGAGCCGAGTGCATTACCACGAAAGCCAATGTCTTTCGACGCGCACAAGATCCGTCTCCGCAGCTAGTGATCCCCTCCTACGTGATGGAAATGGCTCAATTTGTGGTCAAGATAATGCGTGGATCCTCATAAGCCAGATCGACGACATGTGCCATGTTGTACTGGTTCTGAGCCTACAACAAGCCGAATGTCCATCTTTTCTCAGTGTCCATGGATAGTAAATGGTCGATCCTGTCGCCATGCCAAACCAGTTAATGAGCTCTTGTTGCCCACTAGGACCGTAGTGCCATTCTACATCCAAACGCATACGATCTGTCCCTTGTGCAATGACAGACAGACATCCTATAGCCTGTTTCTCGGTACTTCATCGAATGTACAACCACTTGGGCACAGTCCAAGAAGCACACTTTGCCGCCGGAAGGATACTCCGCAATCTCACACTGTGCTTTTGTCCATCGAGCTTGAGCAAAGCGCACTACCGTCGTTAGTACTCGCGACACATAGCGCATCAATTGTTGCATCCACATCCATGATGACATGCAAGCTCGAGATGCCTATTCGAGAGAAACACTTCTGAAGCACCACGGTTCCACTTCAACTCATACCTCTGTCCCCGATAACGATGATTCATCGCATGAAGCACTTCGTCTCCGTTCAACACCTTCCGTCGTAAAAGCTAGTGCAACGCTCTGCACATGCGTCGGTTCAAGTGTGGATCCGATGTTCTGAAGATTAAAGAGGACTAGTCGATAGATAGTCTCAGCGTTAGAGTTCCGTCCGTTTCCGTCATGACCAGTCTCCATGCGTTCGTCCCGGGTGGTGCCTGGTACAGCAAGGACGTTGGCAGGTTCGGAACCAGCTTCCCAAGGCGGTGGATATTCTCACCAAGAACTTGTGCAGCTCCAAGTACTGCAATATCCTGGGCATCGGTTTGAAAAACGACCCGCACGAGTGTTCGTGGGGCTAAACCGGACTAGCAGAGGGGGGCGACGTTGACCGGTAGTGCCAGCCCATCATGTGCAGAGTCAACGAGATGTTGCAGGACTGGCTAGCGTCCAGTGTGGGTTTTTGCCTGGGGTTTTGACGCGTGGACGTAAGCAAAGGAGTCGCGTCCACCGCAGTGGTGGGGCTGGAGATGAGACTTTGCAAAAGACCACGGGGAAGATGGAGCACCCGACAGATGGTCGGCTGCTGGAGAAGAGAGTACTCAGACACGGCATAGTCAAGAGCGAGCTTCTCGGTCTGTACCTCTTCAACACAACCGAGCAAGCGTCAGGTGTGGAATAGTCAAATGCACGGCAAGCAACTCAGTGCATCTTCGCAAACAGAGTCGACACACTTCCGATGGCGGTGCTGAAAGCTCTGGACTGAAGAGAAAATGACTGTGCAATGGACCCCTACCACGGGGTTGATGAAGAAAGACACGGCAACACCACACGCTGTTGTAGTAGACCTCTAGATATGGCCATACTCAAGTGATGAGTCAAGTCGAGCCTTGTGAGTTGGTGCTTGTACCTCTAGGAGAGAGTTCACTGAGAGGAGTTGAGCACGGATGCAACCACCCCGTTTGTCCGTTTTTCTTCACCCCAGCTGACACGACTCGTCTCCTCGTTAGTGCCTAACGTGAACCCATTGAAGTCACATGAGCCGAAAAAAGGTCACGGGCGACAGCCGTGTGTGCGACCTTTCGTCTCACGGCGTATATCACTCACGTAGGTGCATGGGGAGAGTCTCAGGTGCTCTCCAACCTCTCTGGGCTGAATTTTACGGGACGAAAGCGAGTCAAACGTCGCACGTTGCCTGTCCTCTGCAGTCGTTTCAGAACATGCTTAACGAAGTAATAAAGGTGCTTCTGAAAGACGTTTCCTGTCGTCCTGGTCCGTCACGGCGCCACACCCTCTGTCCTTCCTCTCACTTTAACTTCTGCTCGAAGAACGTGAGTGAAAACGACCTGAACCTTCTGGCAGCATGGAAGTGTCCCGACCTGTGGGCAAAACTGCGGCAGAAGACGTGCCAGCCTCTGCGGCCTGGACCCAGAGTCGATTGAGCGAATACTCAAGCGGCAAGTTCAGTCTGAGCCTTGAAGCCTCGCAAGCCCAGCGCATGAGTGAAACGGGTGGACGCGTGAGCTCTACGTACGGCCAGCGGCAGACGGAAATGCGTCTCAAAGCTGCAGACTTTGATGACCTGCCACCCGAGAGGACAAAGGACTACAAGGGTCGCATTCGGACGTGGCCTGGGTTGTTGTTACTGCTGTTGCTGCTGGGTGGTGCGGCAATAATCATCGTGAAGCAAGCAATGGAAACCAGTGAGTTCATGAAAGCCGACCATGAAGCCTTTGAGCGGGAGCAAACGAAACGACGCAAGATCAAGGACGGCATGGACGACGACAAGGTGCTCATGTCAGACGACGGACAAGTGGGGAACCCGAAGAAGTACCCGGACATGGGCTGTGAGTTGCCTAACTATCAGAGCAAAAAGGGAAAAATTATCGCTGTGTCAAAGAACGGCACGGAAGTGCCCGTTGGGATCAAGGGTGTCAACTGGTTTGGCATGGAAACGGGCTTGGCCCTTCCGTTTGGACTGTGGGAGAACATGGACAACGGCACGTCGGTCTACGAAGTCGCGGCTTTCCTATCCCGCAATAACTTCAACAGCGTTCGTTTGCCGGTATGTATCAAGAACATCCTCAACGACGTGGCTCCAGAGAAGTCGCTCATCAATTTGAACACGAATCGAGCTGTCAATATCACGTCGTACATCACGACGGTCCAGTCAATCGTCGAAGCGCTGGGATACCGTCAAGTATCCGTTCTCATCAGTCTGCACACGTTGGACCAGAAAAAGTCAGGAGGTGCCTGGTTCAGCGAGGAGCTCGATGTGACCGAGGATCAGTTTCTCAAAGCAGTGGATATCCTCACCAAGAACTTGTGCAGCTCCAAGTACTGGAACATTGTTGGTCTTGATCTGAAGAATGAGCCGCATGAGTGCTCGTGGGGAGGAGCTGAGCCGGACTGGCAGAAGGGGGCGACGTTGATTGGCAACCGCATGCTGGAAGGCTGTCCAAACTGGCTGGCATTTGTCGAAGGCATCGCTTCCAAAGGGACGATCACGCTCAATGGCAAAGAAGACACCTTCTTCGATTGGTGGGGCGGCGGTCTCTCTGATGCCAGCGGCAATCCTCCAACATTTGACATTGAGAACAAACTAGTGTGGTCACCGCACTACTATAACACGGGTGTGAGTCCAGCCTGGTATCTCTACGATGGCGGCACTCAGACGGCTGAAGGTGGGCGAGAAGGCTACGTCGAGCTCGACGACGAAACGCTGCGAAACAACGTGGAGAAGACTATGGAGAAGATGTTTGGCTACTTGCTGGAAGAGGATACCAACTCTGCAATGGTCATGGGCGAATTCGCCGGGCTCTACAGCAAGGACGCCCATCCGATGCTCACGACGAAGCGAACGACGGATTACACGATCGAGGTGATGCTCAAGCATAACTACGCAGGAGCTTACATGTGGTCGTTGAACCCCGAGAGCGCGTATCAGTTCAACCCAGCGGATACTTTCGGTCACTTCACGGAGGGTCTGCTCGAGGACGACTGGCTCACACCAAACAAGGTGTTCGTGAAAGGCATGGCTGCCCTGGACGAAATGAAAAACCTTCAGCCATTTCCGTGCTTCCCGGAGGAAGTGGAGGAACCGGAGGAGACGACGTCTTCGTTAGAAAAGGAGTAGATACGAGTTATGACCTTTTACCGCTTGCGTAGTGCAATTACAGGGCTGACCCTGTGTCGTGGAGGTGCACTTTGGAACTGAAAGTGCACGTACATTAAGAACCTCTTCCTAGTAAGATGGAGACGTTTCTCCCGGCAAGTCTCAGCTGTTCATCTACTGGCGATGCGTTCGTGTTTCCCATGTACAATCAATCTTGGTGATCGACGTACTTCAGGAAGCTAGCAGGAAGTGGTGCGCGATGCAAGGTGCAAACCAAGTACATTGAGTGAAAAATTATTCAACCATTTGTGATACGATTGCTACAATAGTGTGCTCGTTTCGGCAAAGCTGTAGCTGCTATCCTTTCTACTCGAGACAAAGCACATTGCTGTGGTTCGTGCTGCAGGAATGACACGAACGTGTTGAGCAAACAGAGGATTAGAATAGATCACGACGTTCGCGTTTCGTGTCATCTATTATTACCATCATACGACGGCATTCGTCCTCTATCGTCCAGGGGTTAGGCAGTCTTTTTATTGACAGTGCACCGATGGCATGTCGTTGTTGGTCCAGTGGCTGCGTGGTATAGACAGCGATAAGATGGCTTGGACGGAGACCCTCGTTATCGATGGTGTTCACCGTCACTGCGGCATTCGCAAAAGATGAGGAACTCCGATGCTCGTCTCGCAGTGGATCGATCGGGGGAACGGGAATCTGCTCCGTGGCAGATCGAAACTGAAGTCGTTCGGAACGATTTTGTGAAGTATCATCCCACGACGGCTTATTACTCGGACAAGGACCAGCTTGAACACAAGTATGTAGCACACGAGAACCAGAACATGCGGCTAGTAGCCAAGACGCCAGGCACATCGGAAGCGGACTCGGACTACAAGGGGCAATACAGGGTATGACGACATCTAGAGTTGGTTGTTGATCTGGAGATAGTTGAAGTGTAGATGGTGGTGGACTGACGAGTAGAGGTGATGGACCAGATTTGGCCAGGTTTGCTGCTGCTGTTTGTACTTGTCGTGGGCTTCCTAGTCCTTCTCACGACAGGAGCGGTAAGTACTTACGAAGCACGCACAGCAAGAGCGATGAAATACGAGCAGCGAGTAGTCAGAAAACGCTCGATCAAGGACGGCAAGATGGATGAGAACATGATCGTTTCGGATGACGGTCAGTTGGGCAACCCGAAGTCGTACGACACCAGCTTCAGTAAGTAAAGCCGCAACTTCTAACTGCAGTTCGCCCGTGGTCGTGGAAGATCTAAAGCATTAACACGCTTGTTCTGTCTGTAGCCTGCGAGATGCCTGACTACCAGAGCAAGGGTGGTCAGATTGTAGCAGTTGCTGCGAATGGCACCGAAGTGCCAATCCAGATTAAAGGTGTGAACTGGTTCGGTATGGAGACAGCGCTGGCCGTCCCGTTCGGACTTTGGGAGAACGCTGATAACGGAACTACAGCGGTCAGTGGCTTGTCTTGTTGTGATTGTAGGAAAGCAACGATGTCTAACTTGCCTGTGTCTGCAGCACGAGATTGCCGCGTTCTTAGCGCGAAACAACTTCAACGCCGTGAGATTGCCAGTGTCGGTGGAGAACATGCTGAAGAGCAACGCGCCTCAAAAGGGCGTGATCAACTTGTCGAGCAATCGTGCAATAAATGGTACAAACTTCATCTCGACACTGCAGACGCTCGTTAAGTCGCTCGCTTACCGCAAAATCGGTGTACTAATCAGCATGCACCGACTGACTAACACGAAATCGGGTGCGACGTGGTTCGACGAAGCTCTGGACGTGACGCAACAGGATTTTCTGGATGCAGTGGACATTGTGTCGTCCAACCTCTGCGGACAGGAATACTGGAACGTCATGGGGATGGATTTGAAAAATGAACCTGAAGTTGCGACGTGGGGAACTGGTGACGACGACGATTTTGTCATGGGCTGCGAAAAAATTGCGAAGGTCATGCATGGCAACTGCCCGCAGTGGCTTGGGTTTGTCGAGGGTGTGGTGGCTACACACACTGCCACGATTGGTGGCGAAGAGCAGGTTTACTACGACTGGTGGGGTGGTGGGTTACAGAAGGCAGGAGCTATTGAACCCAAGTTCACTATCGATAACAAGGTCGTGTGGGCTCCTCACTACTATACTAGTGCTGTCGCACCCCAGCAGTACTTCTACGGTAATGGCACGACGTCCGACTTTTCGACGTATGTGGAGCTGTCTGATGAAGAGCTTCTTGTCCGTGTGGAGGACACGATGTACGACATGTTTGGTTTCTTGGTAGAAAAGAAGGGCTACGCTCTGCTACTTGGCGAGTTTGCGGGATTGTACGCTAAGGACGAGCATCCGAAAAAGACAACGAAGCGCACCACAGATTTGACAGTCCAAGTGCTGATGGAGAAAGAGTACGCTGGTGGATTCATGTGGTCGCTAAATCCGGAGAGCGCGTACCAGTACAATCCAGCTGACACGGAGGGGTCGTTCACGGAAGGCATGTTGCTGGACGACTGGTTGTCTCCGAACACCGAATTTCTCGATGCATTTACACCCTTGGATGCTCTACCGTACCTGCGAAAGTTCCCGTGCTTTCTCGTTGAGGAGGACGCAGGTAGTAAGCGCCAGTAGGATCAGCAAAGACAGAGTTTATTATGTGAGGATTCTCCATGACACTCAAGATTAGCTGCACGACGATAGATGTATGGGGATGGTCTAGAATGATCACCATTTATGCGACCCCTCACTTCCGTTTCCTTGCATGAAGTGGCCGTCCGTACGTTTGAGATCGTATCGACCGATCTCAAACTGTGCGGCCACTGCCACACAGACTTTGCATCGTCACCGACGCCACGAGATACACTTTCTCTTACAGTGTAAGTCTTCCGACCTTCGACCCGTTGACTCTGTAGACGGCGCCGTTTGCTAAATAGTCTTGATGTCATCGGTACGCTTGCATCGTCATTAACAGGCTGTCTGGAACTTGTTTACCGCTAGCACCGACATCTACATCTAAATAGCATATTTAGTTCCATAGGTAGCGACCACGCTGCACCTTGTTGGCGGCTTAACGAATGCCAGACATAGGTGACCAGGGACAGTATATACGATGACCAATGTTTTTCAATATGGAAGTGTCGTCACTATTGCCTTGAGTAGCCGTACGCCATGTGTTCTTCGAGACAGCGCCTGCTGAGAGAACTCTTGCATTATATTCAGACTACGTCTAAAGCGAGAGCGGTGCGAAACACCACCTCTTGAAGAACTTGTGTCGGTTCTTGAACGATAGGATTTGAGTTTTCTACAGAGATGTTACAAATTTGTCGTTAGTTATCGTGACAAATTGGTGAAAGGGTAGAAGATTTGCCGTTACCTGAGCTATCGCATTATCACTCATTTTGCTAGCTCTATCTGCTGCTTGCGCTGGATCTACAGATGTTTTTAAATCCACTAGTGTTTCGAAAATGCGCAGCCTTATACGCACACGTTGTTTCCAGCAACGTACGTATCTCTTGGAAACAGGGCATGCCCATGGTTGTAATTGGCGTATTTTGTCAGTAGCGCATCAATTTAAGATAGCTGTGCTATTTGCGATTTGTTTGAGATCATGGTTTGTGCATAATGAAAAGTGTCTCTATCATCACCTCATTCTACATTAAGCTTCCGAGTGCGTAACGTGCGATCGATCATTTATTAGGCGTTCACGTATCCCTTTATGTTATTTGATCACCACGAGGCTGATACGCGAAATTACATCGACCGAGTAGCCAGGAGAAACAATTATGTATGATCCAACCGTGCTGCGGGGACACTCAATTTGGAAAGAGGGCACACATTGAGTGCAGATAGTGTCTTGTTTCTTATGCAGCTAGTAGCCACTTACGTGGAGCTGAACACCCGATTTCGTATACGTAGATGCTGCAACAGGGTGATCATGCTTGAGCAGTATCTGTCGAACGTATCATTCAATTTTTCGACACTTGCAAAAATACGCTCCTGATCCAGAATTTCTTCCAACATTTCACGGATCCAAAGTGTTTCAGTACCTTGGAAGGAAGTGCTCCTATAAATGCCAGGTGCATAGCATACATTTCCTTTTAAATTTAATGTCAACTGGCGGGTCGCAAGAGATCAAGCGCTGTTTGCAACAATAACAATTAAATAGATATCCGGGGGAAATACCCAAATTATCTGGATGAGAGCTCAATTTTAATCAACTTTCATTTTCAACTTCGTGATGCAAAAGGCAGTCAGAAATGAGCGGTTAATCAATCTCATTTTCAAACCACGTGTATAAAGTGGAGGACGAACATTTGATTTAAAAGTAGGGTTGATCAACACAAGAAAGGAAAACCCATCATAGACTTGGCCGAATTTGCAGGAATCAAAAAATATATGATCTATCTTGACTTTCACATTGATATGTTACGTATGCTGAACATTACTTGCGTTTGAGTAATCTGAAAGTATTGATGGGAGTACGGCCGTCCATCTCGGATTCCGAAGACGTACTTTGCGGTTATCGTTTACTGTCTCCCATCATCAAGACAAATTCGTAACCTTACTATCGAAAAATAGGATTAACGGCTGGTAGTACACTTCTAGCTCTGGACTCGCCCGAATTGGTGTTTTTCGATCTGCTGTAAGTTTTTTGCAAAGACGATAAGACTGTGTTATCCGTGGGCGCTATCATGTGGCTTCCATAATCGAGACGATTGGTACAGGCATTAAATTTGAATCCTTAGGCGATTACCGTGGGATAGGGACAGAAATGGGATATTTGTTTCTGCTTGTAAAAGTTTTGTGCTTCCTGATTGTATCGCTTTAATTTTCTTAACATTACTTTCTTGCGAGTATTAGTACGTGCAAGCCACACGTTTTCGTTGTGCCTCCCATTCCGTTTGATGAAATCGATTTAATACGCTGCGTTGCACATTCGTGATAACAATGACACGCATTATTTTCACTTTCGGTAGATTCCAATGATTCAAATAGTATCTTCTCGCGGCGTCTTTAGCATGTCTACAAATTTTATCTGGGTATATAAACGCGAGTCAAGACACAAAGATTCTTGTCTGATGCCACGACATATTGCAGGAACAAATTCAATTTATGTCTGCACTCAATTACCAGTCATCTTTAACTTCTGATTAAATGACGCGTTCTAAATTCATGCACCATTTAGCCTTGTGTGTCTTAAGGATACACAAATGCGCAAAGTGACCGTAAAGAAAACTAAAACACAAAGGTGATATTCAAACATTCTTACGAGAAGAAACTAAGTTGTGGTGATGTGAGGGGTGGAGTATAGTCTCACGACCTGCCGTATACTATCTCGGAGACACCGGCAACGTAAGACACTTGTTAGTTATCTATTTTAATCGGGTGTCACATGTTAAATGAGGGGGTTCTTAGAGTCGGTACTTTTACTAATCAACCATCATATCCTGCGTATTGACAACACCTAAATGGATTCAAAGCCTTTGATTTCGTCAAGTTATGGATCCTCGTTCTCAAAACTGCACTCTTATCTCAAATTTTTTACAGAAATGGAGGCGATACAAATGCACTCTTTTACTCAACTCCACAATTTACTTGGTAGCAATTATCTTCATACTCTTGAGTGAGATGGCGAGGTGTATTTAGGTACGCCTACGGCCGGATATATCCCGTCAATAGGAAGCAAAGGTACCTTGATGACTACTACTCTATATGCTAGGCAATGTGTTTCCCAACAGCATAGCGCCTTCGTGCAGAGTCAAGTCTCGATATGATCAGGTCCCTTGGTGTTAGCGCGGGGCCATATAGGTAGCGGTGTTCGGCGTGGGAGGCCTAAGACAGAGGTTGACATCATTGTCAAGCAAGCTCGCAACCTCCGTGATATAATCTTGGTCTTAGGCAGCGTGCACTTTTATGACAGACCCTGCGTACATAGCTATATCAGCGAGTCGATCCGCTATTTTGTTGTAGGTGCAATAGTGATGTTCCCAATCAAATACGTCAAGATCGTCAGCTAAGGTCCGTGCCACTTAAAAGAGTTGCAACAGGTGTGTCTTGCGCAGAAGGTGACACGTTCGGATTTGCGAGAGCTCTAGCGCGCTATCCCCAATGATATCAGGGGTGAGTAACTGCTGAGTTATATTTGTCGTAGACCGTTTACGAGCCCCCTATATTCAGCAAAATTATCAGTAGTATATGCAAAGCCATATTACAGGCTCGATAAACATATGACGCACGCAGCGTGCGTCTGAAGGTGGAGCTGGACACAGAATACTTGCTCCGCTCGACCCTGGACTTTCTCGCAATTCTCCGTCGAAAATAGGAGGTGCAACAATCCCTGGCACCGTTCGATAGGTAGTACTTGCAACGAATAAGGTTCATTATAGCATAGTAGAGTATCAGCCAGGACGGACGTGACGGTTGAAAAGAGATCCTCTCATTTCAAGCTGGTATATCCACAAAATAATTTAGAGTGACCTTCCATAGAGGAGCCTGGCATTGGATGTGTGTAACCCCTGAGTCAAAGACGAGTCGTCAATGCGACGGAGGTGCTTAACCAAGATGGCATGAAGTGTCGTGGATAAGACGAATTCCTATAGCCCTTGTGATGCTGAGACTGCAGCCTAAATTCTCGAAGAATATGCACCTGGGTCAAGAGATCAGTTGATAGCATCCTCTATCTTATGCGGGGCCCCCGGTAAGTCCAGATCAAACACCTCGACGCGTAAGTCTTCGTCCTTCAAAGCGCCAAAACATCGCCACTGATGAAGTGGATTATGTCAGTGGAAATTTGCACTATGGCAGGGCTATAGTGCATGTCTTGCCATTGCTGGAACATCAGCCACAAACTATGGTCCGGGGCATGGCGGATATTAGGTTTACATATTCCGAGCGGAAGGTGATAATCTTTAGCCAATACAGCATATGTGTGGTAGTAGGAAAGAACGCTCTTTTCCGCCGGATATCTCATCACGTAATTAATGTTGTGCCTTCGGAGATCATGCAAAAGTCCGTTTTTGCCATACGCTCACGGAATTCGAATATTTTCGGCACGGATCCGTTGGGAGATGACTTAGCTGGGTTTCTTTATTGTGGCCGCCTTCTTCGACGTCTAGCCCAAATGTGGACACAAATAGGTTCACTCCGCATTCCATTCCCGTATAGAAATGAGACGGCAAGAACCATCAACATTGAGAAGCCAGTCATGAAATCAATGCGCCTTTGTTGAGTACACATTAATGACCTTAGCTCATTGACCGATAGACCAGTGATGGGAAATTACATAGGAGGGCAAGACAAAAGGACACGATTGCCGCAGCTTCACTGTAGATTGGGTTGCCATGTCACGCGTGGGCGAGAACCGGACATTGCCGCTCTTAATAGTCGCCCAAGACATCGTGTCGCCGAAGAAATTTGGTCCCCGCGCGAAGTCAACTCTATTCAAGTCAAATGCCTGACCTCGACGATCACTCAACCACTGCATCGTTTTATTGTTGCGTTTACCATCAACAAGCATTCAGAACTCTCCTGTACCGCTACTTTTGCTCTCATCCCGGCACGCAGTGTGTCATCAATAGCTCGGCGAGCATCAATTGCGACTTCAACGTCGTCATTATAGTCGACCTCGGCTC